CCGGGCCCTTACTAGACAGGCCTCCATGCACCACACACATGTGCGCGACGCATGGTCGGAGATCCGTCGCATAGAAAAAATTGCCGAGGAACATGGTTATAGTAAAGCCTTGGTCCGCGGTTTAGCACGTGCATGCGCCCGCCGCCCCCCTGGCCGCAGGGACTGCCCCCTACCATCGCCGGTCGACAACCGTCAAACGGATGGGAACGCGAGACACGCGGTCGTCCGCTTCAACCGGCATCTAGACCCCCTATATAGAGAGATCGCTAGCAACAGCCGCACCAAAATCGCGTACTTAAGAACCAGCACGCTTTACGACTTGCTCCACAACGCGAAGGACGCAATGAATCTCACCAGGGCCCCAGGTGTTTACTCCATTCCCGTACGGGACGACAGATTCAATAGGGACTTAGTTTACATTGGCTCCACCATCCGATCAACACAGAAACGAATACGGGAACACCAAGCTGATATTAAACATAAAAGACAGACCACTGCCTTATCGACCTATGTCACCGACCCTGAAATATGGCCGGACTTCCGGAACACCAAACTTATCAGACCCGCGTTCCGCGTTGATCACATCCGTCACCTGGAGACCTGGGAGATTCACAAAGCTATCATGGGGGGCAACTGCATCAACTACAGGGATGGGGAAACACTTACACAGGCGTGGAAGTATTTATTCGAGGAGTTCGAGCAACAGCGGTCGGAGGGGTGAAACCCGACGCGCACGTTTATTTATCTACATCGTTGGCAACATCGTTACGATGGTTGGGTCGAAACACGGCCAGTCACCACCTGAAGCAGACCTCGGTGGAGGTCGAAAGTACTTGTGGAATTTAATAGTGACATAACACTCGAAAAAAAGGTTTTACGTGGGTTGTTATTAAAGCTTATCATATTTTACTTGTTAAATAAGTTGCTTTCTGCAAAATTAATTTGTTTATTCAAGTTTTTAAAATATAAATAATTTAAATATTAAATTATCATTAAGTGTTACTAATATAAATTAACTCATTAAAAATTAACTCCTATATCAGTAGTAGTCTAGTATCAGTAATATCAGTCCAAAAATACCAGTCAAAATTTCTTCTACTAATAATTTTTTAATCTTGTATATTTTCCAGATATAAATATATTTAATATAGACAATTAAAAACAAGAAGGTAATGATTTGTAATTATTTTCAATGCATTTTGTATTGGGCTGCAATTTGAAAAAATTGTAGGCATATAAATTTCCACTATCATTCATCTGTCTGTTCTTCCTAAATCTCAAGAATGGTGTTAGATAAATGAAAGTCAAAGTTTAGGGGCAGTAGGCCCAATTAATTATATACGAACTTCTGATCTAGACTGGAAGTCACATGATTTTGATTCAAAAATTTCCCCTGAATGGAGTTACATAGATGACCAGCATGACTGTTGTTATCAGGAAAAATATTGTGTACAGGGGCAAAACACTACTAATTAGAGATGGCAAATATTTATAGTATTTTAAATTTAAAAAATTAAGAATATGATTAAAAATTGCAGCCTGGCATTGTGATGATGTCACAATAAATAAATGCTCATTTTAAAATTGAAAAGTTATTATAGATATAAAATATATAAAAAATTAATATGAGTAATGCGTAAAATAATTTTAAAGAAACTACAAGCTCATTTCACTAATATGACTAAATTATCAAATTTAGTGACCTTCAAGTTTTTATAATATATCTAATGTTTAACTATTCTACTTTCTGCTAATGACTGTTGGAAAGTTAATAATTTTTTGTTTTATTTATCAGTAAATATTGAATGTGTGTTATTTTTTTCAATATTATCAAATTAAAATTTATACATTTTATCTTCAGTTTTTTTACATATTTTGTATGGATTCTATGTACAGCCAAGTGAAACAATCAGGACATGACAATCAGGATAATCAATCACACTTGGTAGTTTGATTTTAAATAAATTAAAAATGTTTATTTTAATTCTAGTACAATAGTAAAAAAGGGAAAGACAGAAATTTAATACATATCAATGATAAGAATTTTTAAAAATTGTCTAATTTATTAAAGACAAGCTCTAATCTTTTGTTGCAGTCTACAGTGTACTGATGAAACTTTGAATTCAAAGTAAAAAAAAAATACATAATGGTAAAATTAATATTGAATAAAAGTACAACACTCATGTTAAAATTATTTATTACAGTTTTTCTTGAAAGAAGTTACTTATGTTGTTTTGCTTTACATAGTTTTTTTTCTTTTTAACATTTACATTTGTGTCTTGTTTGATCATCATGAGAGTTGAAAAATCTGCTTTAAATTGCATTTCTAACCATGCCAATTCTGTTTCTAATGCACTGTGCATTTGATGCATTATATGCCTATGACTCAATCATTCTTTTCTATTTGTACTGTTATAAATAAAAGCTAACACTAGCGTTGATAACAAGATAGCTGTATAGTGGGCTGATATAGGACCACTAACAATTGTTATTAAATAAAACTTTGTAATTTCTGGGATTAGTACTCTCTGAAATTGTTTGATTAATTGATTTTCAGACAATCAATACTTTACTGTATTTGTATAGTTTCAGAGTACCAATATAATGTGTGGACTTTGTGATGCTTACTTAAAGAATTTCAATTAATAGCTTCAGAGTATTATAATAGAAAGCTACAAATTGATACATTAAACTGTCATTATTGATTTCTTTCATTTATATATGATATTTTAAAGTTAATATGTATAATTTGAAAAAAATATATACAGTAGACCCCTATAAAACGGGTTCATATAGTTCAGATTCCTACATGACAGCAAAAAAATTGCGACCATATTCATACAAACACACTAAAAAAACTCGTATCATTCAGTAAAATGTCATCGCTGACTTGTGTTGTGACAGGATTGGTCAAATCTAGACCAATAGCAGATATTGTACAAACTGTTGAGTTTAAACGAGCAGTGGACCTACTAAAAACCATTTATTATTTAACGTCCATAAAAATTATATTTATATTAATGATGTCTCCAAAGTTCAGCGAATTTTTCACAAAAAAAAATACTTTATCAGGAAGCACACGAGCACCATTCGATGGCAAGCTCCATGACGAAAACAAGCTTAAGCAATGGTGTTGTCGAATGGTGCACACTCGGTAAGTAATTCTACAATTTTTTGTTTATAGCATAGTTTATATGGATTATTCCCAAAAAATTATACGTATTTTAGAAATGTTGAGTTGAATTAGTCTAGAATCGATTAATTTTATGGAAGAAAACTTTTCAAACAGCCGTAGTCCATAAACTGCAGATGTGCCGTGCTGTGATTGGCTCATGTATTTAAGGACTCGTAGAAAAAGGATTCATAAAAACCGGAATGTATCTACCGTGTTATGGGTGGGGTCGACTGTATATACAGTAGATATGTTCTATTTTATATGAATTCTGTGTTTTACCAGTCACTTAAATACATGAGCCAATCACAGCACAGCACGTCTGCAGTTTACGGACTATGGCTGTTTGAAAGGTTTTCTTCCATAAAATTAATTGATTCTAGACTAATTCGACTCAACATTTCTAAAATACGTATAATTTTTTGGGAATAATCCATATAAACTATGCTATAAACAAAAAATTGTAGGATTACTTACCGAGTGTGTACCGTTCAACGGCGCCATTGCTTAAGCTTGTTTTCGTCGCGGAGCGGCGCATCGAACAGTGGGTGCGTGTTTTCTAATAAGTTATTTTTATGCGAAAAATTTGCTGAACTTTGGAGACATCATTAATATAAATATGATTTTTATGGACGTTAAATAATAAATGTTATTTAGTAGGTCCAGTGCTCATTTAAACTCAACAGTTTGTGCAATATCCGCTATTGCTCTAGATTCGACCAATCCTGTTGCGACATGAGTCGGTGATGACGTTTTACCATATTATATGAGTCTCTTTTAGAGTGTTTATATGAATACGATCACAATTTTTTCTCCTTGTTATATGAACCTGTTTTATAGGGGGTCTACTGTATAACAATTATATAAATGAAACTTTATATAGAATTTATTTACAGAATTGCCAAATTTAATAATATTTTCTCTTCTCTTTAAAACCTAAAGAAATAAAACAATAAAAAATAATTTACATATTACAACTAAAAATGCAACATTTATATTTTTCAATACAAATCAATTAATTGTAATACAGGATAGGCAACTTTAGCTGTCCTTGTTAAAATAAGAAAATTTTCATATATTGATATACAATCATATCAAATGTTTATTAAAGTTTTGTTATTTCATCTAATTCTTAGAATACGAGGTCTGTTCAAAAAATACGCAGACTGACGTCATAAAACAAAATGTACTTTAATAACAATCCACGAAACCTTTTTTTACAAGTGTTATGTCCGTAATAAACTCCACAAATGCTTTCAACCGCCACCGAGGTCTGCTTCAGGTGGTGACTGACTGTGTTTCCTCCTGACCGTCGTAACAATGTCACCAGAGATGTAAATAATTGTGCATGTCAGGTTTCACCCCTCCGACTGTCCCTGTTCGAATTCCTCGAACAAATACGTCCACACCTGCACGATCGTTTCACCATCTTTGAAGTTGATGCAGGTGCCCCCACTGTTAGCTTTATGAATCTCCCAAACCTCCAGGTGATGGATGTGATCAGTTCGGAACACTTGTCTGATTAGTCTGGTGTTCCAGAAGTCTGCCTGCATTTCAGGGTCGGCAATGTAGGTCGATAAGGCGGTGGTGTGCCTGTTATTTTTAATATCTGCTTGATGTTCTCTTATCCGTTTTTGTGTTGAGCGGATGGTGAAGCCAATGTAAACCAAGTCCCTATGAAATCTGTCCTCCCTGATGGGAATGGAGTATACACCTGAGGCCTTGCTGAGATCCATCGCGTCCTTGGCATTGCGCAGCAGGTCATAAACAATGCCGGTTCTCATGTACATGATCNTAATACTTAATATATACGTATTGTATTATATACAGTATTAGTTTGTGTGTTTATTATGATAAGCTAATTTTTTTAATTAAGGATCAAGTAGATTTTGTAATAGCCATAACACATATGAGATTTCCTAATGACTGTCATCTAGCAGAGAAAGTTGAAGAAATTGATTTGATTCTGGGAGGTCACGATCATGTATATGATATAAAAGTGGTAAGAATTCTGTAAATTGAATATATTTTACTAATAAAAGTTTTAATTCTGAAAATGTTTTTAATATTTTATAAAGATATAAGTTTTAGGATCTGGACTATTACTCCTAAGAATATATGTATTTTATATTGGAATTTTAAAAATAATTTTTGTTAATTTATTATAATTTTAACGAAAGTTTTAAGATTTATCCAAAATTAACTTTCATTAAATGAAGAACAACTGTCATGAAGGATGAAAAGCGGAAATATTTTCTCAGATAAATTACCCATTTATAGTTTTTCACTCCAAGAAAAATTGAAGAGAGAGAATTTTTTTATTGTCTATTTTAGCATGAATTTAATCTTTGATTAGTCAAAGATGGATAATGTGTCAGATATTTAAAAATAATTTAAAATGTTCTCTCTCAAGACATTCAGTTTAATATCCATCACTGCATAATGCCTAGTTAATGAAAAATAATCCATTTAGCATTGGTTGATCTGAAATTGTTGATTTAAATTGTGCATTGTGCAATAACCTCTCCATTTATGTGAATTCACTTGAACACAATTGAAAAATTAAAAAATTTTAAATAGTCAACTTTATGGAAATAAATGATAGCTTTATCAAGAAATGTGTTTTTTTTTTTTTTATCAGTAACCTGTTGTATAGATGCATATTTAAAAACTCTTGAACAGAAACATATTCAGCAAATTAATAAATCAAATAACCAACACCTTATTCGTTGCCGAGGGAGTTTATTAAAAACAAACATTTTCAATCTATTCTATAGATCATCTTCAGGTTGAAACCGCCGCATATGGAATAACTACCATAGAATAGGACACCAATTTGAATAGTTATTCCATATGCGGCGGTTTCAACGTAAAGATGATCTATAGAGTAGATTGAAAATGTTTGTTTTTAATAAACACCCTCAGCAACGAATAAGGTGTTGGTTATTTGATTTAAAAAATCTTCAGTTAATTGATTAAAACTTTTTTATCCCCAGTAAGAATAAAATACTGTATTTGAGAATGTGGAACAATCTCTATTTTAAACAGCTTTCCATGCCTCTATTTATGCAGTTTTATGGAACCAATTATTTGCATAAATGGAGGGAAAATGCACAAGTAATTACCTGATCTCAGAATTAATTCTGATATTCCTTGTTAAAAATTAAACATCATGTGAATCCAGGGTGAAAACTGATAATATTACTACTTTTGTTATAAATTAAAATATTTGATATATATAAACAAATTAATTAAAATAAAATAATTAAAATATTATATTTATCTAAAATATATATATATATATAATAATTTAATTTAATTTATAACAAGGAACATTTAGAATTGATGCTGAGATTAGGCAACTAATTGTAATATCATCAAAATATGCAAATATAATGTTGCAATCTTTTTTTATGTATGACTTTAGTTAAACATACTTTAATATTAAATTACATATGTCATTTTACTTGTAGATTTTAGGATTTTTCTGTTTACATGTGTTTTAAATTTTTAGTATCATTAATCAAATGCTGGATTATTTCAGACTGTTTTAGCCAACTATTAATTCTCCAAACAAAGTAATTTGCTCCAAAGGTTAGGCTGCTATCTTGTGCTAATTCATACAGCTGCATTACCAGATGTCTGTAGTCCACAAACTGTGGCATCACCCCACACACACACACACACACACATATGTATGTATGTATATAAACAACTAAGCTTGAATATTAACATAAGCAAATCATTAAACATGGGATTATTTTGGATTATATTTCAGCTTAGTGCTACTCAAACTGTGATCTATGAACAGTTTATTACTGGGTTGCAATGAGTTTCACTTAAAATCTCATAAGTTTTATATATTATGTTAAAATACTATTTAAAAATTTATTGCCAAGTATGGACAAAATGTGATGATCAAAGTCAGCAAAATTACTTGAAAATGGCCTACAAACCCATTTTTTTCAAAATGATTAGAACTGAATTTATCTTACTAATTCAGTGTAAAAATTTTTTAAAATGCACTTGAACTTCATTCTTTATTTTATAATTATTTTTATTTAATGGGAGGTGCTCCAATCTTTGTAGCAGTTGTCATCAAATTTTTTCACCTCACTCAAGAATCAAGACTTGCATTATTGCTAACATTTGAAAAGTGACAAACATTTCCAACTAAAATGGATAATCTTAAGTTAATCCTCCTACTATTGTTAATCGCTGGAATCAAATTGAATCGAGGTCTGTTGCAGAAAACACCAACAAAGAGAAGTAGACCAGCTATAAATCGTCAAAAGCAATTAACTAAATTACATAAAACCACTGGAATTGGAGTCAAACCTTATTACCGATTACACAGAAATAAGAACTGAATCTCTAACTCAAGCAAGTGAGAAATTTAATTTAAACCCTTCATTAGAACTAAGATCTACAGAAGCAGCAGACATCTCAACAACAGACCTATGGCTAAAAATAGCATTATTAATTATCAACAGTAACAATAAAATGGAGAATCAGTTCGTTAATTCAAGAAGAAATTAATACTGTACATAGTGAAATCATTAATTTAAAAAACAATTGCAACTTGCTAACAAAAGCAATGAAAAGATTGGAATAGACAATGTAATGACAAAGAATTATGTAATGACAAAGAATTAATGCAATTTAAAATTGATACTCTGAATAATACGATAAATAATAATAAATTAATAATATACAACTATTCAAACAAGTTAATAGATACAAATCATAAAGAATTATTGAATTTCTTTATGAACTCTTTAAAGATATCATGCAATGAAAATGAAGATATAAAATCTAATTACTCTATACCAAACTGTAATATTAATACTTAATGTGTAGTATTGAAATCGGAACAATTGAGAAATAATACTCTAATGACTTTTAATAAACTGAAACAAAACAAACTACTGGGAGACTGGCAAAATATGAACATTATAGCCAATTAGTAAAAAACTCAGATAAAAGAAGAAAGTCACTCCTACCATATTACATAAACTTAAAAAAAAAGGAATACAACTCAAATTACAAGATGATTATCTTATAATAAACCAGCAAAAAATTACATATAGTTTTCTACAGAATCAACTAGTATATGTAGATGATTTTTTAGAATATATCCTACAAGAAAATTTGGCAATTTAGATTTTCTGATAAATGTAAATAATCAAACTAATAAGAATGAATATCAAAAAAATATTCAATTAAATATAACGATAATGTTAATATAACTATTTAAAAACTTATTGCCAAGTATGGACAAAATGTGATGATCAAAGTCAGCAAAATTACTGGAAAATGGCCATCGGACGAAAAAAATTATGAATTATGACTGAAAAATATCGTCACCAGGGGAACCTTTTTAATCTACATTTTCCAGCGTGCTCGTCTGTGGATAGAAGGCCGAAATACCCCCGAGAAAGTACAGATGGTAACAAACAAGAAAGACGTTCGTATAACACCAGTTCTGATTTTAGAAAATCTTTGTGTTTTTTAAAAGGACTTTTTTAAAACTTTTTGGCGGCTAGTAGCCTAGAAAGGAAGGTTGGTCACTGGAAATGTACTGTCTAGAACGCAAAAGAGAAAATGGTGATCCCTATTTGGGCGAACTTGTCTTCAAATATTAATAAATATAATGAACTGGAATTTTCAAGGTCTAATAAGAAAAATTACAAGTAACAAATTTATACAGTTACTAAATAATACTGATATTCTGGATATAATAGAAACCTGGATGACCAATTGAAGATTTAATTAAAAATAAAGAAGAATACAATATTATATTGTCAACAGCTCAAAAACCAGACAGTCCAGGATATCCCTATGGAGGACTAAGTTTAATGTTAAAGAAAAATATTGGAAAGTAAAATAAATTTATTCAAATAACTACTAATTACATACCAAGTTTGGTACAAATTACTAATCTAGAAATGAAGTTTCTAGACAAAAAATTAATAATAATCATATTGGTCTACATACTGCCGAAACATACAGATATTAAATGAAATCTTCAAATATCTCAAAAGATGGAAAAATATTATCCCATATGTACTAATGATAGGAGATCTAAACTCTTGAATAGTTCAAAAAATGGATTTTTAATATAAAGGACCAAATATGATTTGAAACATTCGAGAATCTAAAGATAAAAAATTTAATAAATTAGGAATTCAATTATTAAAACATACACACCAATTACAGTTATTTATATTAAATGGGAGAATAAGGAAAGATTATTCATCAGAATTTACTTGTGTAACTAATTCTGGATGTTCAGTGATTGATTTAACAATATGCTATTAACTACTAACTGATTTATATACAGATATTCAAGTATTAAATTGTGATATAGCAGACATTTTTCCAGTAAGAACTACTATTGATGTGGCAAAAAACCAAGTTTAAAAAAATAAATCCGTACCTTACCAACTTATTACGACTATCAACAGTATCATTTACAAATAGGTGAAAGAATTAAATATATATCAAATACTGGACTAGAAGATGGAATTGAAAAATATTCCCAATTGGAAAATACAATAAAAAAATTTATAAAAATACGAAAATTAAGTAATACAAAATTTCATATACAGTATTTAAAAAGCCTTGGTTTGACTTTGATTGTTATATTTTAAAAACTAAGAAGAACAAAGCCTTATCACAATTTAGGAAATCTTATACAAATGAAACATTTAATTACTACAAAAAATTAAAAACATTATACTTTAATTTATTAAAATTTCAGAAGACAAAATATTTCAAAAATTTACAACAGTGGCTGATTATAAATAAAAATAATGATATTTTTTGGACAACAATATAAAGATTATGGAAAAAAGATTCTGAACGACAATCGTATATAGAATTGTCAGCTTGGTCTCTATTTTAAAAGATTTCTCATTATTGAAAAACTACCAAGTATGGAACTGACATATCTGAATAATGAAATTTTAGATCCACTGTTCACTTACAAAGAACTGGAAGACTCAATTTGTAAACTGAAATCAAAATCGTCTCCAGGCACTGACTTAATTACTGCTAAATTCATAAAATTACTGCCTTAATCAGGTAAACAAATATTACTTGATTTATTTAATTTATTTTATAATATGCTAAATTATCCAGAATCTTGGAACACAACTAAAATACTTATGATATACAAAAAAGAAAACCTGAAAGAACCAGAAAATTAACACCCAATAGCACTTCTATCGATTATAAGAAAACATTTTACATCAATTCTAGCAGCACGTTTCCAATGTTGGATAAAAGAACAAAAATTGAATTCAAAATTCCAATTTATCTTTGTTAAATTCAAGGGAACTGAATCTGCTATATTCTTTTTAACTTCAATAGTCCAGATTTATTTACAAAAAAAAATGCAGGAAAATATATTCAGCTTTCATTGACATTTCAAAATCTTTTGATACAGTTCATATCCCTACCTTAGTCAATAAACTAAAATTGCTTGATGCTGGAAATAAATTCTCCGATTCTATAATGCAGTGTTTTTCAACCTTCTTGAATACGCGACCCCTTTACAAGTTAAAAAATTCTGGCGACCCCCCCAGGACCATATTAAAACTATGTCAGTGATTTTAAAAACTACATATTTCATTTTTTTTTGTTGAGACCTAAATATCGATCGAAAAACCAATTGTACTGTGCAAAGAAGTTGCAAGAGCCCTGCAAATAGTAACTTTGCCACGGGGGTGCTGGAGGCGAGTGCACCTCGCGCTGCCTGTGCAGTAATGTATTCTCGCTTTCTTTTGTTTCCATCAATTCTCCGAGTGTGCCAACAAGTACAGACGTGATTGTATTGTCTTTGCGCTTTGCTCCGCACGAGCATAAAATGGATAAGTTTCTCAAAAGGACGCCGCCCTCCACGTCTGGTACAAGTGGCAGTGACAGAAGTCAATCAAAACCTAAAAAAAATAGACATTATGACAACAATTACTTGAAATATGGGTTTACTGTTATGAATAATAAACCTTAATGTATAATTTGTGGCGATGTATTATCACGTGAGAGTATGAAACCATCAAAGCTTATGCGTCACCTCTCAACCAAACATTCTAAAGAAGTTCACTGAAATTGTAATTTTTTTTATTGTAGTGTAGGACCTACAAGCACTTGCCCTTTTCTTTTACCCGTGACCCCCATGAAAGGCTTTGCAACCTCTCTGGGGGGTTGCGACCCACAGGTTGAAAAACACTGCTATAATGCATCTTTTTTCCTTTTACAAAATATTGTTCATGGCAATCAAACTTACCCAGAGTTAACTATAAACCATGGAATACTCCAAGGTGAGCCACTATCAACATATTTATTCAATTTTTGTATTAATGAAATAGATAATTTATTTTTAAGTGATACTGAAGGAATTTATATTTTTGGACTAACTTTCCACTATATACTCTATGCTGATGATCTGGTAGTTCTAGCCCCAATTCGTGTAACCTTACAACGCAAGATCGACAAAGTAAACAAATATCTGAATTCTTTATTTTTATCGATTAATGCATCAAAGTCAAAAATAATCATCTTTAGAAATAATATTAAAATATCAAACCAAGAGAAATCTGTCTACTTAAATGGTCAACTTCTTGTATTAGTGGATAACAAAATATTTAGGTATAACCCTTAACTGGAACTGTAATTTTTATCTACATTTGAAAGATCTTACTACAAAAAAAATATGGATTAAAAAATACCAATGATTACAATTTACAATTTTTACATCAAATTATGATAACTCAAACCAACAACTCAAGTTCTAATAAAAACTTATGTCAATATAAGTTTAATAAACTACTTTGAACATTTGAAATTTCAAGTGCAATATTTGATAATACAGAGATCAACTGGAAATATGTTTATACATTTATGATTGAATGAGTCTTAATCAAATCCATCTAATAAGCAAAGCTATAATTACAAATACGTTTTAAATAGTAACTGCAAAGCTATACAAGGTTAGTGCAACATATTTGAATCAGCCTTGTCACAATCAATAATAAAGGATCAAAACTCAATAATGAATTTGGTTTATCATCCATGGTACGTACTTAAATACCCTAAATATACCTACTAATTCAAACATTATAACTGCCAATACAAATATGAATATTAAACAATTATTACTTCAAATCAGACTCAAGAAATACTCATTATTTATCAACAATACTTATATAGATTTCGCTAAAGAACATTGCTATTAGTGCAATTCCTGTGACTTTTCCTTGATCCATTTATTAATCTCCTGTAACAAGGTTCTTAAAACAAATAAAGTTTAGTATTATTATTATTTTATTTATTTATTTATTTATTTTTTATTTAATTTCCCAAAAATACTGGCCTGCAAGGGATTGGAATGAAAAAAACTTGCCCATGAACACAGTTTTAGAAGCATTGTTTTAGCTAATATGTTCAGTACATAATATAGGTTAAGTTGGCTGAGAGCTATGGAGGCCATGGGTGGAAGCTGTCCCTTGTCAGCATAATAAATAGATCTGTATGGTTATATTTTTCAAGTTAAATTAAATTGGTTTAAAAGAAAATATTAGACAAATATCTGGATGGCATAACAGGTAATACAATTGTCATAAGTTAATTGTAAATTGTGGTTTGATTTCCACTTTAGGTCAATATTTTCTTCCAGAATATTCCAAATTATTAAATTTAATTCAAAAAGTAACATAATTACTGAAATTTCAGTAATACAAGAATACAAGATGATGGACTAACCTAGCTTTGGACTAGATTACTTTGTTTGGGTAATTAATAGTTAGCTAAAATGCAGCTTGTAATAATATGGCATTTAATTATTTGATTATGTTAATGTTTGGACTTAGGTTTTTAGTATCGTTGCCTTATATAAAAACATTTTTGACAAATTTCAATATTTGAACATATTAATTTAATTATTTTTAAATTAAAAGACATTGTAATTTGCATTATAGTAATTATGAAAATAATTTTATAAAAAAATTCAAATTAAATAGCATATTTATGTGAAATTATATGGTGTGTCTCAAAATCTGAAAAATTGCTTTTGATAATCTTTCATTAATATTAATTAATCAAAATTAATTTAAAATGGAAACAGTTTTAACTGTTTTTTAATTTTTCATTTACTTTTAATCTCAGAAATAAAAATGATTTTTGAATAATTAAAAAATTTGATAATAATTTGAATTGATTAATTTACAGGTAAATGGAAAATACATTATAAAAAGCGGTTCAGATTTTCAAAAATTTTCAAAAATAACATTGACATTTGGTAATCCTGTTACATCCATATCAATTGATGAAATTACAGTTACTTCAAAATATGAAGAAGATCCTGAATTAAAAGAAATTCTCAAAAATTATGAGGGTTAGTTAAAATATTTATTTTAATGTATTCATAGTATTGTGTTTTGTATGTATATTATTCATCTTTGTTTATTTAGTAAATAATGTAAATATTCTGTTAAAGCTGATGAGAGATTTCTGCATGAGATTTATTATGAACATAAACATATGTTTATTATTTCCTATATATTGTATAATGATGGTATCATAAAATTTAAATAAGTCAGATGAGAGGTGGACTAGCTTCAAAGAACATATTTATTGATATAAATAAAAAAAAAATAGAAGTCAATATTGAATTACAGTTTTTTTAGCATCATATTAGTGTTATGCCAGCTTTGAAAACATAGATTAATTTTAAAAAATTGAATTGAGTTGTTGTAAATGTACCTATGTAGGAGTTACTAAGATAATTTACATTAAAGTTTAATTGTTTGCTTAAAGATAATTATTTACTCTGGCAATTAGCAGGTTTTCTGCCAATATTACAAAGTGTGTTGTTTAATGCAAGCCTAAAAATAATTAATATAACTAACATGATGTTGTCTTCGAAACCGTGTTTTTTGAATACATTGGACTTCGAACTCGCATTTGAGTTACAAATAAACACTTGGCTTTATTTCCATCATTTTAGTTCAACTAAAATGATGGAAATAAATCAAATATTTATAACTCAAATGCGAGTTCGAAGTCCAATAACTAACATGAATTTATTTTGTCTATTCTGAGAACAATAGCGTAGGCTTAATTTTATAAAATAACTAGCTGTTACCCGTCACTTCGCCTGCACGGATTTTGCAAGCAAACCCCATTTATATTCAGAATTTCAACAACCATAGTAATTGTTATATAATACCTACTGCTGAGAATCAAACAAACTGTTTTCAATTTGATCAATTTTCTGGAACATTTAAAATCATTCTATAGTTGAACCAATATGCAATAACAAATTCAAATTTAAAACGGTTCGAACATTTGGTTAAAAAATCTAAATATATAAAAATATTTATAACAATGTCTGAAATGTTATCAATCTAATACACCTAAGTACTCAATGAAAACTAAACGTTGTTGAAAACAAAAAATCGCATCTAAAATATTACAGTAGAAGCTGTTCTTCAGGTTAAACCTTAATCCTCTCCTCCCCCTGCGGGGGAATTTTGAAAAATCTCTTCTTAATGTGCATTTTCATGACGTACTGTGTACCAAATTTCACCTCTTTAGGTTCAGTGATTTGCTCTGGGCGATGATGAATCAGTCAGTCAGGACAAGTAATTTTATATATTTAGATAATAATAATGAATGATGAATTGGTTAAGTAACATTTTGAATTGTTTTCAGCTGTCATTCATATACATCATATGTTATAAATTTTATTAGGCTTAATATGTAATGTATAATAATATATATGTTATCAACATAAAATTTTTATATTAACAAGTATTTTCAGTCTAAATTAGATCATCTTCATATTCTCTTTTATTTAAAAAGAATACAATGTTTATTTCCTTAAAAGTGTAGAATAAATGTTAAAATGTGTTCTATCAAGTATAAGGAACATAATTTAAATAGAATAAATAATTTAAAATACAATAATAAAATAATTCAAATAAATAAACTAATTGAAATAATAAAATAAGTAACTTAAAGTAAAAAAATAAACAAAAATTATATGAAAAATCAAACAAAAATTTTAATTGGATTAAAAATGAAACACAATAAATAAACTATATGTGTAGAAGCTGAGATAAGCTATATGTGTAGAGAGGGAGAGGATTAAGGCTTAACTTGAATAGCTTCTACTGTACCATTTACTTTGTATCATAATACAAAGTAAATGCATTTTCCTGAAGAGGTTATTTTTATCAGTATAGTATTATCCATACATTAACAAATAATTTTTTATTCTTGATTTTGATTTTGATACATTTACAGTAAAAAGTAATAAAAATTCCATATAGTCTTGTAAAAGAACAACAGTAGAATTATGAAATTTGCATTATAAGATAGATAAAATTGTCTATGTTTTAGTGAAAGTGTTTTGAAACTATATTATAGAAAAGAAATTATGCAGTAAACTCAAAGGTAAGAAAGTCTCACAAATTTGTTAAAACTGATTAGTTTAACTGTCAAGATAACAGACAGGTAAACTGATGCATTCATCCATGTGAGATGTTTTTGTGAATGTTGGCTGTTTACATGGAATGATAAATAGATGAAAGATTACAATGTGATGATATAAAACCAAAAGTTGCAAAAAATTTTAAAAAGATTTGAATTCTTCCATTTTTGAAAATTTCTGGAGGAATCACTGTACATAACCAATGTTTCATGCATATATCAAAATTTATTTATTTTACTGGAATGTCATATGTTCTTATCTTACAAGGAGCAATTAAAAAGAAAATGGATTTGGGCTATAATGATTTTAATACTTAACTAATGTAAATTTTACCATCATCCCCTTCAAAGTAGGCCTCTCCTGCATTTATAAAGTGATCTCACTGTTTCTGCTAAGCTTAAAATGTTCCTTAGAACTCATTGTTTAAAAATTCCAAAGCATCTGCTGTGTTTTGGACTGGATCTCCTCAACTGTATTGAAATGCCACTTTTTGAGCTTTAGTTTTATTTTGGAGAACCAAAAATAAGTCACAAGGGGTCTAAATCAATCACATAAGGAGGATAGGAGAAGACTGTCACATTGTTTTACATCAAAAATTTCTGAAGATTTTGTACATAGAAGTGTTGGCATGATGAAGGAGCCAGATTCAGTTGTGCCTACAGTTCTGATTTTTTTCAACAAGTGTCCTCCAAAATTGATTCAAAATGTTTGAATTCACTGTCTGATCAGAAGGAATAAATTCCCTGTACACAATCTCCTTATGATAAAAAAAAAATCTTTGTTGTGCTCCTGACTTGTCTCATAAACTGTAGTCTCATTCATGACCTAGTTGTGACTTCAAGGGTCTTTGTGGCAGATTTTAAAGTTTAATGAAAAATTTAACGTTTGCTCAATTTTCAAGTTCATTTTTGAATCTCAGGACAGTACTAACACACTACAAAATTGTGTATAGCAAGCATTCTGGATTTAAAAAAATAACACCATTTGGCAATCTGATGCTCATACATCTAAGGCATCAATTATTGGTGGCAAAAAGACTACTTTGATCACCAGTGGAAACATTATGGCTTTTTTATTGCATCACATATATATGTGATTCACTTAATGTTATAGATAATGATTTACTTTAGGCTGAATATATATAAATACAGTATGGAAATTTCTTAATTTTTAATATTTCATTTTTCATAGATTAGAAAAGTCTTTTAAGATTGATGTTATGTACACTTGCAATTCAAATATCCTGGATTGAAGCATGTGAGCTGAAACAAAGATTACTTTTACAGTGATTTCTTGATTTAAAATTTCAGAATTAAAATTTTAAATCAAGAAATTTTAAATCAGAATTAGAATTAAAATTTTAATTCTGTTTAATTAATTTAACATTTATTTTGATATACTATGTTTATTCTAATAAATGGTACAGCTATAAAATGAAAACAGTTATACATATCATACTGCTAATTACAATAAATATTATATGTTAGATTCAAGTCACTTACAGTATCTATCTTTTAGAGTTTTGGAATGTTTGTAAATCCTATTACATTAATATATATAATAAAAAGTTTCCTAAGGTTATTTTTCTAAAATTATAAAAACCATAATTTTGTTAGAAATATATGAAACCACCAAAACATGTGTTTTATATTTGTCATATATTTATTTTTTGATATTTAATTTTCCAGCAACTGGTCATATGCTATCTTTCTTTAATGAAAAAACTACATAAAATATTTATAACTTACAATATTGTGACCAAAGGGTCAGCACCATGTCACGATATCATGTCAGGATGACGCCACTATGTCTTAAGTGACATACAATACAATAAAAGTAAAGAATTAGGAGGCCATACCTTGGGCTTAGCCTTTGAAGTGAAGGATTATGAGGGTGGGGGAGAGAGGGAAGAGCAAGAAGGGGGAAGGGGGAAAGGTAGATAGGAAAGTGGGAAGTAAGTCACCTGAACAGGCAACCAGGGTCTGTAACTGACCAAAGAAAAATTTATGTACAGTGTGGGTCGCAGCCCATCTGAATACAGATATTAGGTTGCTCAAAGGATAAAGCAGTGGTTAGATACTGCTAAAATGCTAACTGTGACAAAACAGGACATAAGGCGTGATGGAAACACAACACTACGTATGATAAAATCAGAACAGGTAATGCGTAACATTTTTTTTTTTTAACCGACTTGTGACAGAGGGTGTGGTGCATGGGTGTAACAACCAAAACACAAATGCAAAACAAGGTAGGTGCAACGTGCAATTACAGGCACCAAAATGCAACAGAGAATGAACACAGGAGACAAACAAAAGTGGGCTTCATGCTGGAAGCTTTCACATGAAGAAGCAGCATCAAGCAGGTGGTTGGCTACTGGGCAGTTGAAGGCCCACTACGGGTAAAGTCCAGGAGAGTGACTGCTGACTCTTTAATGAAGGCAGAGAAGGCCGCAAAGGTGCTCTTGGTGTTGAAGAAGTCCAGGCAGTTGCAGGGCCAGTGGTAGCCCTCAGTGTACATTGCATTGGCCAGGAGCTTCCGTTGGTTTTTGTACTTTGGGCACAGGAAGATGACGTGGAGAGGGGTCTCAATGTCCAAAGTGCAGTTGCACAACCTTGAGAAGGAACCTGCATAGGTAGCCTTTGAAATTCCCGTGCCCTGTGACAAATTGAGTTGAGTGATAGTTTGAGCTGTAGAAGTCCATTTTCCTTCTGGATTGGAGATTAGGAAGGAAGCCGTAAGTGGTCATACCAGTTAGTTTGGAGTACCACCTTTTTTGCCATAGCTGAAAAGTATGGTCTTGAAGCCTGTTTCTGATCCAGCTGGTCAGTATAGCACCGAAAGTAATATTAAGCTGGTGGCCTGTGGCTTTCTTGGCTAGGAAGTCAGCCATTTCATTGTGGAAACCGCTGAGTGGCCCTTAACCCAGCAGAAAGTGGTGAGAGAGGCAATGAGGGAGATTGTATCCTTAATGATGATGTACTTGATATTCCTGTATTTTAATTGGAGAAGGGCTGTTTTACTTTCACTATAGATGGTGATGTGATGCACTGTCCTATTGTTAAAGTTTTGATTGGTGTAGTGGAGAGCCTTCTGGATGGCAAGGCTCTCTGCTTGGTTGATTGTTCAGTGGGACTCCAGCCTGTAGTAGGCTTGATGAAGTCTTAAGTGACATAGAAATTGCAACAGCGATAGTGTTCACACATGAGCAGTTGAGTATTTAGGTGGTTGAATCTGGGATGGAAGCAATATGAGAGATGGCACGTTTTAAGAAAGTGTACCAAATGCAGGATTAACAATAACAAACATCTGTTTATTTACTATAAGCTATTTATAAATAGGCTGAACATAGGCTATTTATAAGGCTAGTATATTATATTAAAGGCTTAGTACATTATATTAACTATCTCGTGTGTCCTAATCTTGAGAGAGAGAGTTTACATACATTCGCGGACAGATAAATACCTTGTAGAGAATCTGAGGATGCGCTTTGTTGCTAATTGGGTTGAGGACTTGAATTGATGACACAACGAATTGATGATTCGGAAGTTTCGATGGAAGGACTTGGTATACAGTGGTACCTCAGGATACGAACGTCCCAGCATACGAAATTTTCAGGATACAACACGAAATTCGAACATATTTTTGCTCCACGATACGAACAAAAACTCACCATACGACGTCACATTAGTTCGCAGCGCCATTTTTTATTCACTTCTGTTCATCTGTCTTGGTCCGCGTGTTTGCTTCATCGTGGAAGGAGCTTGCTCGACAAAGGAAATCTCGAGGTATTATCAGAAAGTGACTGATTTTATTGAAAAGAAACATCCCAAAAAGGGTCACACTGGCCGTATTGCCGCTCGGGGTAATGACATTTGCCTAAGTCACTTTAGAAACATTTTAAAAAGTAGGCAAAGCCACACCTCTTTGGATAGATATTTTACCAAGTGACCTCTATCCAGTGAAAGTGCTGGTGGAAGTGAAGGAAAGAAAGCAAAAAAGCAGTGAATAAAAAATTTAAAAAAATGAAACAGAAAAGATTAAAAAATTAGTGTTAAGTTATTTTTATGTTATTGTTGCATTATGTTGTGTAAGTTAAGTTTTAGTATCATTTCCCTTCTTTCACTCTTCCGCCACGAGTTTACACCTCCACCGTCGTCTATCCTCAGAGGTAAAGTGCAAATAAAACTGCATTTTTTTAATCAATTATTATTTTATTATGGTTATTTATACATTTACAACTACAAAACGCATTTTTCAGTGTTTTCCTTACTATAGTTATTTTTTAAATGTACAACTTAGCTTTAATTTGAGTGTGTTTTTTGTGTTGGAACAAATTATTTGGTTTTACGTGTAATCGTATGGGGAAAAATGATTCACCTTACGACATTTTCATGATACGATCTGAGTTTCGGAACGGATTAATTTCGTATCCTGAGGTACTACTGTATTTGGTAAGGTCTTGATATTTGGATTATTCAGGAGTGTCGTCAGATAGAGGGAAGTCACTTAGGGCTGAATAAAGAGAAAATCTTCATTGTGGGTAAGGTATCCAAGCTTTAGTACAACTCCAGAGAGGGTGAACTTTCAATGATGACGGATGATGACTTTTTATTGAGGGGTCCTTCTCGTTTTTTCTATTGTCTTTTTTGGTAATGTCAGGGCCAATAGTTGAATTTCAGTTGTAAGTTCCTGGTGACACATTCAGAAGATGTGTCACCTTTCAAAGGAAGTGAATCCGGTGAAAGATACAGTCATATCCTTCCATCTTTTTATTAATTGTTGGGAAAATTTTAGAGAGTTTTCTTTGCATTTAATGTAGATTTTTCAGCATTATTTTTTTTTTTGTTTATATAAATGTGCAAAAGTTTTATAGTTAAATAAAATCTGGGCTCTCACAATATCATAGTTGTTTTAATTATTGAATCAAAATAATTTATAAGTTGACAAAATGCTGCTTTTGCTTCATGGTCAGTAGTACAAAAAGAGCTGTTATTATTACCAAGCAGTTTTATTTTATTACTATCTTGTCTGTTTAATCATAAATTTAAAATAAATTTTGTACCAGGTATAATTATGATTATTGCTGGACAGAAAAACTAATTTTTTATTAATTATATAGAGTTTTTGTATTTGAAAAAATGCAAATTAGAAAATNATTTTCAAGAGTTTCTCGTTTAGCGTCAATATTTCATTCCTGGGAATCAGAATTTCTGTCGGAAACATTAAGAAAGGCCGGTTTCTCATTATTTTTAAATTACTGCGTATACCTGGCCGTATTCAAAATTTTCAAGGGGAGAGATTAGTGATGTTTAATTAAGACAGGCTAGTAAAAACAATAGTTCTAGTAACTAAAATGTACATTTATAGATCCTCCGTATTCACAATAATGTAACTGCAAAACACACAAACAAAAAAAATTGCTCGGGTTAAAATTAACAGAAAGAGAATAACATGTCTATCCCTAATGCTTAACATTGTACATTAGATTTATCCACTTTGACGTGCCTGAACCATTAAAATTTTCTGAAATCTTTTCAACAGCATAATCTACAAAAGAAGAGCGTTAATTTGATACTGGGTAAAATATAAGTTATTTAAGTCGAAAAATTCTTTCAAATTTTCACCAACAGAAAAATATGTAGCGCTGTTCAGTCCAAAACATATGCTCTAGGCTGTGGAATTATTTGAAATGTGGTGTTTAACACAGAAGCTGAAGGCTAGTTTACTGAGACCCTTCTTCCAGATTCCTTCTGAAATGTTACGTGCTCCAGTTGATAACGTGGTTTTACAATTGTAACGTGGTCGTCATAGAAGTATCCTACATTGAGCACTTGCTGTATATGTGTAAAATGTCATTTTATTCTTTTAATAAAATTTTGTCCGCTGTTCTTATAATCGTTATTAATACAGCGTCATATTTTCCCCTGGTAGTGAAAATTTCAACTAATTGTTTCCCTTATAAGTTTCTTCCCAGTGATCTTGTGCATTGTATATATATCGAGTTTCGTTCGATTCGGTTCATTTGGGTCGGCTCTATGCGTGTCTCAGTACTATCACTTTAATTCTGAACACTTTGTATATTGCTACAATTACAGTTATTTATTATAATTTTTTCAGATGTACGATAATTTCATTAGCATCGAAAAGGTTTCTTCTGCAAATCTACCATTGACATTCAAATTTAAGGTAAGTTGTAGAATTATTGGAATGATACGCAGATTGCATTGTAAATATTGTTAGAACAGAAAGTTTTCGATTGACAAAATTGAATGGTATGAGATATTGACTGCCCGAGAATAATTTCTTTCGCTACATCTTTGTGAAATGTGAAATAAGATCCATTTATTCGGAAATACTGCATCATGCCATCACTGTCGTTGTTGCTTGACTAAATTGTTTTATACGCTAATGCGAAGGATATGCCAAATACTTATTCTTTAGTAAACACATTGAAAATTATTTTCATTGTTTGCGTGCTTATTCATTATTATTGTATGTCAACACTATCTACCGGTAGTTTTTTGAACTAAATTTTACTTCTGTCGACAAAAGAACCTAACATGCTGACTGTTCTTACCCTGCAAACTTCATTTCGTTCCGATAATTCTTATAATAATTATTTCAAATGTTGTAGCAAATTATAGAAAAAAGTTATTTTAATTGCTTGAAAAATTATCGAACAATTAATGTATTTCTTATAATATTTCTGTTGTGAGGGAATAATCTTTGTGTTTGAAAAACCAGTGTCTTTGAAATAACTTGAAAATACGTAATTTTTAACGAAGAATTCTCTGTAATTAAACAATATATATAGAATTTAATTATAAGAAACTGATTAAGTTATTGTAATTTTTTATTTAAAAGATAAACGACTTTATGAAGAGATTTGGCAAGATTCCTCTCGGCATATCCATTGGCGGATTCTTCTACATAAAACGGGATTTTCCGATAAGAGTAAATTGTCATTTGTTTCTAATCGTTCTAATCGCGTAAATATACGACAGGTATAAATGTTATTAACAAATTGTTTTTGATTTCAGGTAATCAGTTCTCTTTATTCGATATTTTCTTCGTGTATTGAAGTGAGCGGAATTTTGAAGAAAGAGAAACATTGCACCGTCAAACATGGAAAGAACATGTTTCGTTTTCGCAGTTAAAAAACTAATTCGCATTTCGAAGTAATTTAAGCAATTGTTATCCAGAAAAGAAATAATGACTAATTTTTTCGGACTGTAAGGAAGTGTTACTAACAAATTTTATGGAGCATCAGACACCGTTAGTTTACAGGTGTACCGTGAAACTCGAAGAACAGCAAACTCAATGTTTCGGCGAAAAGATGATAGGTAGCCCACCAGTAGCCAAGGGGTTCCCTTTCTTAAACACGGGAGTTCGGTGGATGGTTCGCGCCTCACAAGTACGAGCTGGCCACGTAGAGTTTTCCGGGTTTTCTCCACGTCTGTAATGCCTGAATAGGGGCCAGTTATTTTTAAAAGACCTCCCGGAAGGCATAATTCTTTGCGTATAAACAGTGGTAAGTTGTGACATCACATCGTACGTCACAATTTATCACTGGGCACAATTTTTTAATACCTCTCACCCAACATAAAAAGACAAGACAAAGTGATACCGGTAGATGTTTTCACGTTTGTGTTTGCCTCGTGCGCTTTACTTTGACCACCCGTAAACCTATTAGAATTTGTTAGCCTTGTATATTATTATTGCGTTACCATTAAATAATGTGTTAGAATACCTTAAATTAAAATAATTAGGCCAAATATATTAAACGTTATTAGGAAGAAATGTACCCATTANGAAGTTAAGCCTAACAAAAATTTTTTTAAAATAATAATCGTCGCTATTATATCTTTAAAAATTAGAAAATTAAGCCTCGTTTACATACCGGCTCCCTTTCATGGTCGATCCAGTGTTGCCAGCTAAAAGACGTAGAAATAATATCAAAGTAGCCAAGACATAGCCAAATATTGTAGCGCCACATCACTAGCGGACATTTGAAATTTGCCAACTAGGACAGTCAGTTAACCAAGGTGTCGGTTAATCGACAGTCGGATAATCGAGGCTCTACTGTAATATAATAAATATATTCTCTTTATACATTGTATTTTGTTGTTATATTATTAAATAAATATAATTACTCCATTCTAAAAAGTAACTATAAAAAACGAGTTGCTTAACTTTCCCGGCAGCATAACTGCGTGTGGAGCATCTGTTACGACATATTATTAAAAGAACTTTTATATTTTTATTTATTATAAAATGGCAAAACGCATAATTTTGAGAAACGGATTTTATTTAAAAAAATTGTAAATGATAATAACGAGTAAAATCATCGTTAAATCTATGACCCTACTCGTGATATGACCTCTATCTATCTCCCCAACCCTTCGACCTTTAACAGCCAAAATTTAATAGCAACAATTCCCCTAATAAACAAACCACCCTGCAAATTTTCAGAAATTTTCGACAATACAATACATTTTAAACAGTGCAAAACTAGTGCTTATTTACTTTCTATGAAGAATAATTTGTATTGTACGAAATCTAACAAAGTACAAGTAGCGTACATTTTTTACTGAGTATTTAAATTGCAATAATATTACAACAGCAGATCTTCCGGATTGTCTAATTTAAATGGTTTATCGTAAAAGAAACCGAAGCACACTTCCCATTTAATCCTCTTGTACAGACGTGCCAACTGGTATGAACATGTAAATTTATTCCCCAAATTCTTAATTAACGTGACTAACGTAAATCCAGTGACCGGTGACAAGTAAAACGGGGTACTTGAAACACTCCTGAGATTTGTAACGTTCGATATAAATATTCAGCTAATAACATTAAAGAGAGGATAAAAAATTCTATTTATTACAAGCAATTACAGTATAAATGTGTACACTTTATACTTATCACAAACTGTACACTTCATACAACATTGCTATATTTATAAACAATTGTTTTTAACTCGACACAGCATAAAATTTAACTACAGTTCAGAGATTGCAACAGGAATGTACCTTTAAATAATTATTGTCATGTATTTACACCATGTAAAAAGATCAATTAACACTAGTACGAAATTTCTAAGAATTCTTATTATTTAAGTGTCTAATTGTCACAATTCATCACATTACCCGAGGAATTTTAAACGAATTTTATACAGGACCGATTATGACAACCATTTTCCTCGATTATAATAAAAGATTTTCCACAATTATTAATAATACAAACTGTTTTATATCTATACTTATAATATAAATTAGTCTGGAACCAAAGAAAAAATTTTCTTATTGTTTTTTCATAATTAAATCATTTATACACCATTAACTTTTGTCTGCCAGCTTAAAAGGATTTACCCGATGACAAGGCATTAAGGCAACTCTATATGCCAAAGGGTAGTTGCACAGTAGGAAGCATGATCTTGTCCATAGCAAACAAACACTAGGGGGCCTTTCTGGGAAATACGGTCCCATTTAGGTTTTAGACCTGTGGAAAATAGTCTTTTTCCTGTGACCTTTTAGCTTCCTTTTCTTTATCTTATAGTTAAAAAAAGGTCATTTGAAGAAGACCATTGCCTATTTTTCAGAATAATAAAAATATAACACATGTTTATGTTAGCTATAACTTGAATTTGGTGTGGCATGGCACTTGGAACCAGTATCGACTGAGCATGACATTTGCAATACAAATAAGATTATTATTTATTTAATAAGATTAAAAAGGTTTTGAATTGATAAAGTAATAAACATTATAATTTCTTAAATTTAGTTTTATTCATTCATAAATTGCAATGATAATGAAAATATACTTTATATACTATACTATACTATTTATATAATCATCCATGGAAAAAAAATTGAATGTGTAATTAAATTAACAAAATGGAATTAAATTCACTATAAAGATAATAAGAATCAGATAACACAATTTATTTGGACGACAATGAGCACTCATCGTATGGTAAAAAATAGTTAATAGGTTAGGTTAGATTTGGAAAAAATGGGGCCCAATTAAACTTCAAAAAGCCCTAGACCCCGAAAAACCTAGCTCCGCCCGCAGTGGCATAGAGTGGGTGTCAGCCGTTCGGGGCGGAGGAAAATTTCACCGCCCCCTTATTTATGTATCTCAATTTAAAATACTAAAATTCAGTTTCGTCACAGAATAAGTAATGAAAAGTTTCGTGCTCATTTCAATCGGTCCGAATCGTAGGTGCGACAAAAATATGAAATGGTTCAAATTTTTACAAGATATTATTATTATTATTTATTGTGAAATTTTGCCGCCCCCTAAAAGTGCCGTTTGGAGCGGGACGCTTCTGCCGCCCCCACTACGCTATGCCACTGTCTGCCCGACTTAACAAGCTCTCTGTAGAATGATTCCTGACTGCCATCTGTGACGACCCGATCGAGGTTATAAACCTGTCACCTTACAAGTCGTTGAAGATGTTACGATAGTTGTCGTTGAATAATAAATGAATAATGATGCAGATTCCACACGTGCATGAGCAATTTCATGGCAGTTTGATGTGTCGTTTGACACAGTATGAAACAGTAAACTCATTATACATATTAATTATTTCGTTACAATTAATTTTTTTAGAACTATGACGTCTTTTTTCAGGGCTTATCATACGTGGAGAATGATTTTCAGATTTAAGTTTTTATTTAACATTAAAATACAATGCTAAACTATTTTTACAATAAAAATCTTATTCAGTTTCACAGCCTCTTATTAAATACTGTATGCATTATTAACAGGCCTACATATCACAAAATAAACGAAAATATCCAAAATAGGTATCTTTTATGGATATCATGTTATTCACAAAACGTAATTCCAGAAACAAAATCTAATCAGCAGACGTATCTTTTACTTTCCATAATATCATGAATTCATATATCTATTTTTTTACAGAAAATATATTTCTGGAAAATACTTATTATACAATAATAATATTATTATTATTATACAATAATAATAATATAATTTATAATAAATCTATTGATATTATAAGTATAATAATTATTAAGTAAAAATCTACAATAATTAAATATCATATATTTTCGATTCTAAGAGGCACTTTCTTTTACCCATTTTTGTCCTGAATAGGGTTGCATCTTTTAATCGATGTTATCTTATATTCACAGTCCAAAACAACAATCAGCAGCTGTCGCGAGTAGATCAACTGGTGCACCCATTCGAGTTTTCGGATATACTGCTCAATGTTTTACATCAGTTTAAGTGAGTTTTTCTGATAATGAGCGTTTAATTTAAACGCCTTTTAACGTATGGGAAGCATTCAAGATGACATTATGTTGCAGCATTTAAACGAATAGTTACGTATGTGCAGGAGATCATGCAGGAGTCACCATGGCTCTTTTATAGCAACCGCCAATCCATTTGCCAAACACATTATTTATTCGCCAAAATAGAAAGATATTCGCCAGGTTAGTTTTTCGCTTACTGTGACTTTTGTACCAACCAGAAATGAAAGGATGACTGACAATATTTAAAAAAATCCAGCAACGAGTTGCTTAACTTTTCCGGTAACATTTGGTGGCGCCATCTGTTACGATATTTTATTTAAAAGAACATTTTAATTTTATAAAATGGCAAAAAAAATCTTAATTTTGAGGGCAGGGATGGGTTTAAAAAAAACTATAAATGCTAATAACGAGTAAAATCGCTATAAAGTCAGACCCTACTCGAGATATGACATGACATGACCCTCTTTATCTCTCCACTCCGTCGACCTTTAACTACCAAAATTTAATAGCATCAATCCCCCTAATACAAAAACCTGCCCGCAAAATTTCAGAAATTTTTGACATAAAGTATAGAAGTTATTAAGCTTCGAACAGGGTGAACAAAATCGTGCCCATTAATATCCGTACGTACTTTTTTTAACTCTTTCCGCCCTGTGGGCAATAAGAGGGCCTCTTTTTAGCTCTTTTGGGTTCGGCCAGGCCCATAATGGGAGATCGGGTGGTGAGGGACGGGGCCCGACATATCCGGACGGACCACCCCCGAAAAATTCCTGGGGGATATTTCGACCCGTTCGGATTCGAACCCGTGTCCCTCAGA